AGAAAGCCAAGCCCTTGGCCCAGAGGACTCACGCCCTGAAAAGACAAACAAAACAGGTAACCACGGGAAGCACTGTGAAGAGCAACTGAGGTGGCTGCATAGGTATGGGACAAAAACCAGGATGTCCTGGAGTGCCAGGCATAAGTTCAGTGCTGCTCCTCTGGTGTGGTGCTGAGCCCTCCACAAGGCACCACATCACAAATACGACTGCACGCTGTGGTGACGCACAAACAAATGAAAATCAGGAAACTTGCATTTCCCCAGAGCTGAAGCATCACACCAAATGCTGTTGCTGTGGAGCAGACACAACAGCAGACTGCCCTGGGTGCCAGCACAGCCTGCAGAGCAGGATTGCCTCCTGCAGCCCACCCTGCGACTTTCAGCCGTTGCTGCTCATGGAGGCCCAACAACACTCTTTCTTCTAGTACATGAACTTTGGACCATTTTCAAAGAAGAGTAAGTCATAAAAAGGGGCAAGTTCTTGCAGGCAGGCTATTGTGTTGTACAGACTGAGGCCTACCCAAGTCCATAGTGCAACCTGGTTAAACAGCACTTAATTTTCATATTGCATTTATAACACACAAATATTTGCCTTTGCACTTTTCGTCAGTAATAATGAACGATTCTCAGAGCAGCTGCTTCTCTGTGTAGGCAACACCAACCAATCCATCCTTGAACCAGAGGGTCAGCAAGCCGCAGCAGACGCCAGTGCCACCTGGCAAGTTGAGTTTCCACTGAAAGGAAGAGGGTAGCCTGTGCAAGGAGCGTGGCTGCAGCTGAGAACGTGATGAACCAGCCATCTCTGTTTCCCTCTTCTCCCCACTGCCTGCCTCCAGTAAGCTAATCCAGCATCTGAAGCAACAACCTCCTCCAAGCATCCAGCAGCCTTCGCACCGCAGAGCAGCCCCTCGCAGCATGGGGTGCGGGATGGAAGGTGGTCTGAGTTCTGTGGTCACAGCACGTGGTGGCAGAAACCCTCCTGGCTCTGGTCGCCACAAGTACCTCCTGGAGACCCGGTCATACAGAGAGGAAGATGGCAGGGAGAAGCAGGAGGAGGACAGCCTTGCAACAGAGGTTACCTTTCTGTTGTGTCTATGCCTGTACCTAGTAGAGCAAGGTTTTCCATCACTTGAACTCCAAGGGACAGACGGATAAACATAGCAAAGTGACTCAAATAGCGCTAAGGTATAAATGCCACAGGGCACCACTTTGAGGGTTTAATGATTTTCTACGCTGCAGTTATGCATGCATCCCTTTTACTGGCTGCACTGGTTCTTGCAAAGTGGTCAAATTACACCCCACTTTTCTGAGGGTGCTTGGGATGTGAGTAACATGCAACAAACAGATCCTCAGGGCCACACTTACTCTCTTCTGCTTGACCTGCTTTTTTTTCCTTCTGGCACAGTATGAAGAAAGCCTTGTGCCATAAATGACATCGGTCAGTACCCTCGAGATGGCTGATAAGCTTTGAATTCTACTGACTTGTGAAATGTGGTAAAGGTTTGTTTTGGTCCCATTTGTGGGAAAGAAGAAATTAGATCAGGAAGATGATGCTTAACGTGAAAAGAGAAGCAGCAGAGGTTTCTCAAATTGTGGATTGGTTTAGTTTTATATGTATTATATTCCTTTTATATGAGGTGCTATAAGATTTTTCACATGTTCTGTGGGAAGCTGAAAAGCAATGAAAAACTCTTCCAGTTTCCCTTGCAGGAACCATTCCTGCAAGGGCATTTTGACAAGTGATCTAATTGAATTAGAGTAACTTTGAAACCCATGCTGTTAACAACAGAATAAATATAGGAGTTTAGATTAGATATTGCAGAAGCTTTGCTCTACTGAGTAATTCCTTTGGCCCTGATCAGAGCAGGAATACTGGACCAGGAGAGCCCATAATATAACATAGCATGGACGTTTTTATGCTCTTTTATCCCTTCTCATGATGATGACTGTGTATTTTAGGAAGTTAAAAGATAATCTATTACTTTGGTCAAAATTTTTCTATATTACAAAAAATTCCACATGCTTGCAGTGATCAAACTTTCCTTATAAAGTAAATATTACGGAGTAGTGGAAGAACCCATCCCATTGCCACAGAAGGGAAGAAGAGTCCTTGGTGTTAAACCAGGCAACTGGTTTATTGTGTATTTGCAAATGTACATTCTCACAAGCTTTAACTCCCATCTGACAGAAACATTTATGCTCTTCACTGGTGTTAAGCAAGAAAAGGGATGTGACTATTCTGTACAAAGAAGCAGAGCAGATCACACCTCAGAAAGAAAAATACCATGTCCTCTGACAGGCGCCCAAGACAATCATTTGGAAAGATCATCTTGTGGCTGAAGCACAAGACAAAGAGGGCTGAGGGCTGCTCCCAGCAGTTCTGCTCCATGCTCGGTGTGTGACCTAGAGCAAGTCACGAATTCTCTGTTCCTGTTTCCTCTTTGGTGAAAATGATGACGGTGATCATGTCTGTTCTCAGCAGAATTATGACTGCTCATTAACTTACATTTCCAAGTGTTTCTCATTCTTTGCAGGAAATACACTGCAAGTATCACTGCCCTACCACCACCCGACCATATTACCAACTCTAAACTAACACAAGTGCATGACAACCTTCAGCCCTACCATACTTATTCTCACAATTTCATCCATCACAAACCAGCACTCTTATAAGAAACTACTGTTCAAATCAGTCAAATAAAGGAGAATGTGAAAGGCTGTCTGGAAGCAGCATCTCTCCAGTCTTGCCTTGCTTTCACATTCTTGACTTGTGGGTCCTGCTCACTGTTGCAGACAGGATATTAGATTAAGGGGCTCTTTGACAACGTATGTAAATTTACACTACAACTTTCCTGGGGAACCCCTACTATATTTTGTATAGTGCTATAATGTATTTACTATAATGTAAATTTACACTACAACTTTCCTGGAGGCCCCCTACTATATTTTGTACTGCTACTTGTCCAAAGCATTGACTATGGAAAGCTGCACCCTGTTCAACCACTTACAGACTCAGAATTAAGCACATGTTGAATGCAGTGGAAAGACTTTACACATCAGCCCTAAATAACTCCAAGTTCCCTGTTTTGCATCCTCTGAAAGGCTATGAATTGAGAGGTGAGAAATAATGAGGAGCTCCTCCTGGCTCCTACATCAGGGTACCCAAAATATGCTGGGAGCAATAGCATGGAAAGCTGAATTTCCAAGGTTTGGTCAAGAGTTCAGCAGGTTCCAGGCAATTAGGAGATTCCAAAGGGAACAACAGTCCCAAACCCAAAAGGCATCAGAAGAAAACAAATACATAATGGTTAGTGACCTAAAGCAAAGGTACAAAGAAAACTGATGTCTGCTCATCATGTGGCATTGATCACAGTCTTAAACACCAGGGCAGAAGAAAAAAAAAGTCAGATACAGAGGACACTGCTGAATGGGACAAAGCACCTGAAAGCTAAGATATAAACATTACTTTTGAAATACGCAGGCTCATTCATATACATATGGAGGACACCTGGAAAGTAGCAATTTAAGAGAAGCCTAAGGAGTGAGGGTGGACAAGAATGAAACATACATTTTAGTGGGGAAAAAAGGCCTGTGTGGTTTTAGGCAGCATATTTAGGACCAGGGATCCAAAGGAAAGGCTCTCAAGGACTATGCGGTCAGACATTAAATTGCAAGCTGTAGACAGCAGAGGGTTTTTTGTTTTATCCTTTTTCTTTTTTTTTTTTTTCCCTTGAAGCTGCACCTTGCTCTCAGGGAACCCAGCCATGGCCCAGTTATAGCACTACTTTGAGGGAAGCACTTCAAATGACCCAACTAATCAAGAATAATGACACAGAGAAATACTAGAAGCTGAAATGAAAGAAAAACAAATGGTAGCTAGGCTGCCAAACACTGATTAATGGAATAAATAAAGTGCCTGTAGCGTGGGACTTGCAAACAGCCTGCCAGTCTAGAAGGGTCTAAATAACCTGAAGGGAGAGGAATAATTTTTAAGCTGTATAATTAGAAAAAGCAAAGCAAGATTCTGCAAATTTAAACCACTGATGAAAACCCAATGTATGCCATTCACAAGGCTCAGCAAAAGCTGTCTGTAGAAAGTCATCTTTCTGAAAACAGGGGAAGATCAGCAATGATCCCAACCATAAAACATGCTGACCATTAGCCACCTGGCATTGCATGAGGCTGCGAAACGAGCACGCTCTGTTTGCAAACAACCACAGAGCCAAACCACACTCAGATCTTTCCCCTGAGAGGAAAGGGATGCCCTTTGGGGGCAGGTGACCTGGGAGTAGGGTTTGGTTCCCAGCTCTGTCATGAGCAGCACATGAACCTCCAAACGAGTCACGTAGGCAGTCTGGGCCTCAGTCTTACACGCATGGACCTGGCGCCACAACACTGTCCCACCTCCCGAGGCCACTCTTGTAGGTTGCCTACATGCTGGATGGTGGAGCGGTCAGGGTGAGGGGGGCTGCACCCCTCCGGGAAGGCCTAAAAGCTGGAGGTGGGCTGTGAAGACCATACACGCTCATCCCATCTCTGAGGGACAAGTGTGCTCACGCTCTCTTGAATAAATCTGTTCAGTAGGGTGGAGTCTGCCTTATTTTTACTCTACATGCAAATTATATGCCTCAGCAACCTCACTGCAAATATTTTCTGGTTTCTCACACCCTGCCCTGGGCAGAAGCAGGCTGTTTTCCCTGCAGATCCTCTGGCTTTCTTTGGAGTTTGGGCTATTCTGATTTTAAAGAAGTGAGAGAAGGTTGTGAGATAGGGCGAGTTGCAGGGGAAAAACAAAACAAAAACCAAACAACCAGAGGAAAAAAAAGGCAGGCAAAGCTCTTCTGCTAAATCGGGCTCTGCCAGTGCCGGCGGTGCAAGATGCCACGGGCTACAACTTCGGTGCCTCCTCTGAGCCACAGGCGAAGAAACAAACCTCCCCGGGTGAGATGCGACACCCACCTTCCCCCTTCTCCAGCTCAGCCCTGGCAGCGCAGCCTTACCTGTTTGCCAGCGGCAGTGAGGCAGAGGAGAAGGAGCCAGCAGCCTGACGGGACGGGCATGTCTGGGTGTCCGTCTCTGCCGCCTCCTGTGGCTCCTTTTCCTGCCACTGATGAGAAACTAGATCCTTCCAGCCAAGCCCCCGCGCCCCGGCAGCAGAGCGAGGCACATTTGAGCTAGCTACTTCTCTTTCTTCCTTTCCTTCCTCTCAGCTACACGAGGGGAGAAGAGAGAAGAAGATTAAAAAAAAAAAAAAAAAAAGCGCCTGCCTGTAGTTCCCACAGCATTTCCTCAGACTTGACATGCAGGGTTTTTTTTTCCCCTCTTCTTGTCCCTCCCTTTCCTTTCTCCACCCCTTTTTACAAGAAAGTTTAGTCACCATGCCCACGTCCCTCCTCCTGCCGATGGGGACTGCTTTCCCGGTCCTTCTTGGCAGGGCCATCCATCCACCTGCCTCCCACCCTCCGCACCCTCCCTTCCCAGCCCCCCTTACCTGGTGCCATCCCTCTGTGTGCATCTGCCCCGTAATCACTGCCTCCTCACCACCGCTGGATATTGCCTTACACTGTCAGAGGACAGCTTGGACCTTGGCCAGCCTCCCACCTTCCTCTCTGATCCGACCTCCTGCCGGCACCTGCCCCCGGCACTGGGGAGAGGCTCCCGTCACGTCACGCTCCATCCCATTCCCTATCCCATCTCTGTTCCCATGCAACAGCACTTTGGGTGCCATTGCTTTGGCTGACGGCGGGTGGGATTACTGCCAGGGGAAAGAAAAGCGGAAGATGGGAATCAGGAGCTCTTCGAAAAAAAAACACGCTGTCCACGGGATTGGTACTTGCGACCCGACTCGGGACAGTTTGAAGTGGCCTCTTGACCCCCAAAACAGACTCATCGCCAACACCGCTAACCCAGCAGCAACTGCCCTGCCCACCAAAAGAGCAGCTGAAGCTGATGGCATGCTGTTTGAAACTGGGCACAGCCCGCGACACCCCTCGTCTCACAAAGGGAGCGGGAATCCTCTGCTGTGGGGCAGGAGGGCAGCGACAATCTATGGGGAGCTGGGGATCCGGCAGAGCCGTGTCGTTACAGCACCTTCTCTGCCTCCCTGCGCTCACATGCTGCTGTGAAATAAGCTGGGAGCATGCTTCGGACTTGAGCAAATAAGGAAGTTGTTCTTTCCTTTGTCTATTTAGATTTAACCCTTGACCAGAAAAAAATAAAAGTTGCTCTATGTTTGCAAATAAGTAAACAAATGCAAACAGAAAAGATGAAGAGGATATTAAAAAAAAACCCTTTACCTGTGCTGCTGTGGTCTGATTTCTGCTCAGAGGAGCGATCCTCAGAGCCAGGGAGCACTGAGGACAGAAACGGCTGCCGGCTTTCTCTCCTGTATGTGTGGAGGGCCTGCTGCCATGGCAAAATGAAGTTATGACCTTCACCTCTACGTAGTTTCCAGGGACCATAAAGCCAGACCTTTTTTAATCTTCCTGAAGTTCCTTTCAACACTTAACACCCTCAATATCCTCTGCAAACACTGGGCCCTGCCCGATCTGTGCTCAAGCAGGCCTCAGCACCCACATTTCCCTGCCTGGTCTCCAACATGATGTGGCTGTTTGGGTACTGGTGGCCCTTCCATGGGTTTGATGCTCCACAATGTGTCTGGCTTAGGGCCAGCAGCTGCTCCTGCTGCCCATTTCAAGAAGACCTAGGGCAAGGGACACACTGATGGGTTTTAGCAAGCTATAGAGCTCACAGCTGCAGCGTCAGAGCCCTGTTGACCTGCCAGGGGAGTCGGGGTCTCACCACGCTTGGCCTGGACAGGCTACAGCTCTACTACCAAACAGAAACTGAGTCAGGGGTGAGGGGTGGGAGGGATGGCTGCAGCACCCAGCTTGCCTGATAGGCAACATGTGTAAAGCCGACTTCACCAGGGGCTTTGCAAGGTAAGGTGTGAGGCAAGGGTAATGTACGTGCTGGGCTGCTGGTGGCTGTGCTATTCCCTGTCAGACCTGGAGGGAGCCTGCCGAGACGGTGGAGCAGAGCGGAGTGAGAGATCCTGCCAGAGCCATGTCCACCTACCACCAAAAACTCTCAGCCCTGTGCTGGCTGGAGTGTTTTAAAATGTTTGTATTTAAGGTACGAGGAAATGTTTCTTTTTAAACAGAACAATCTGTTAAGTTTCTTCCCCTTTTTACATTTAGCGAAATAGCAAGGCTATAGGCTGTGTTTATTTATCAGCTGTTCATTCTAACCACAGATTTACAGGAGCAAGCTCACACTGTCATGAGCAGTTAGACATGTTACCAGCTCACTCTGAAGGTGTTGAGTAAAGGCATTGAAGGTAGTGATTAAAGCCAAGCCCTGTTCAGCTCAGAGAAACTTCAGACAGTTCAGTATTGCACGTTAGCTTGATTACTTTTGCATTCTCACCCCTGGATCCTGCCTGAAGTATTTCTAGTTCTCTCATTTTCTACCAACTATGTGAAAACAGCCTCTTTTTGAAAGCTCAGGCATTTTCCTCTGAGTTAAATTTTATGTTTCTGAGCCAAAACCCACAGAAGCCACTACTGGGTGCTTTACAGTCTTAATTATGTATTGCAGTAGATCGTTAGAAACAGAAATGTGAATGCTCGAAAATATGAACTAGAGAATGTATAGGAGGAAGCACTGTCAATGCTCTTACATTTATCGCATATATCATTGTATGTAGCAAAAGTAAAAAATAAAATTTACACCAAAATTGGCATGTCACTTTTTTCTTTTATAGGAAAGATTTTTTTTTTCTATTATAGAAAGGTTTTCTGCTACCTTTGCAAAACACATATTTTGAGTAAAACCAAAATGCTTGAAATCTGAAAGCGTCAAACTTATGGTGATGTTCGGGTGCCTCCTGTTTCTGTTCACCCCTGTGGCATGCAAGCCTGAAATGGACTGGCCTTTGGGATGCTCTTTCTAGAGGAGAGATGGAAAACCATGTGCAGCCTTAGAGGTGTGACAGAATCAAAATACTCCCCTGGATAATGTCAGGATCCCTTCCCTGGTGAAGCCCCCCCCCGGAAAACAAACTGTGAGCACAGCTGACCGCTTAGCAGGTATGCAGTCAGTATGGATCTCTTCTTACCTCCTTTGTAGAGAGAGAAGAGTGGAAATTACATACTAAATAATATTTTAAAAGAAATACAGCATTCAGTGTAATACTGCCAGTTTTGGAACTGTCTGAAAATGAAACCATCTCAGCACAAGTGTAAAAATGCCTGTTTTCCAGGAGCTAGGATAACAGCAATTAACTCCCAAGCAATTCCTGAATTTGACTTCCATCTTTCCAAAACTTTCAACCCACAGAGCAAAAATAAGGAATGGTTTGGTGGATACACCAGACGACTGGGCATCTGACCAGCACCTCATGTTCAGATCCCCAGCTATTCCTTCACTTCATCCATGACGCTGAGCTCCCCTGCCCCTTACATGCACAAAGGCCGCAGCTCCTCGTGATGTCCCATCTCCCTGGGAGGGAGAACTAGGAGGCTGAGTATTAACCCTGGGTCTTTGAAACAACGTGAAGGAAACCTGTGCAGAGAAGCAAAACTGAAAGGCACACATATGCATTTTCATATCAATCAGAAAGGCTGTGAAGGTGCTCCCATTCCCCAGCTTTCCACATCCTGTCTAGGGATGGGACATGAGACGAAGGGGTTTGTTGGATCAGTATCAATGTTTTTCTTCCACTAGATGTACAGTTTGGTTGCGGTTTTGGGCTCTGAACTAAACACAGGCTTTGTAAATATGAGCACCTGTGTGTCAGCAGGGGAGAGAAACCCAGTGCATGTACAAAGTTAAGGGCTTTAGGAAGAGCCCTCTAAATCAGGGGGGTGCTGGTGTGTTGCAGTGCAGCTTATGAAGTATCAGCAACCCATGCAGAGTCTGTCATGAGGCCAGGGAGAAAGGCTGCCTCCAGCTGCCTCATCACCCACCACAAGAAGAGGGCCCTACTAGATCATCCGGTATATGGAGCTTTCTCTACTGAGCTAAAGAAAAAAAAAGGTAGAAAAATATCTGCATACTTTTAGCATAGGGGGGCTCTAATTTTGGTTGAGGTCTATAGTTATACAAATTAATCCATTAAAAAACCAATTTTATTATCTACCTAAAACAAAACAAACCACAAAACCATGCCATCAACTTGAAACTTTCTTCCTGTGAAATGCAAGTTTCCACAGCAGATTATTGCCCAATCTCTTTGAGATTTTCAAACACTCAAATATTTTTCATGACAGAGCAACTATAATGAAGCTCCTTAGTCACACTGGTGTGGTTTACACAACATACCTTTTACAATCCCACAAAAATGTACCAGTGCTGAATGCCTGTCAGAAACCTGAAGTTTGCAGCATCCAAAAAAAAAAAATCTCACAACCAGCCACCACTAACATGTCAAATATTTGAAGTACACGCAAGCACACACTGAACTGATAGGTTATCACCAATCACTGTGGCAATAACAATGCCTACATACTTCTGGAAAGAAACACAAAGTAGTGGTGAAATTTTAACTTTGAATATTTGTTCATGCTTATAAGGCATACCAACCTGATGACCTCCAGGACTTTGGTCATATATTCATCTTTAGGACAAGAGCAACACAGGCACGAACTGGGGAGCTCGCTCTGTCCTGCCCAGAGATGAGTCTTCTAAGGCTAGCAAACACCCACCAACCCCACAGCATAAGGACCGAGACTGTGAGTCCTTTGAAACACCATGCAACACCCCACTACCAGTTCCACTGAGTCACCCTGTCATTTTATCTAACAGCACACGTAACAGCCTGGAACTCTGAAAACTCACCTGAATATTGCGATGACTCATACTTGGATCAATAATGTACATTCATCCCTCAGCAAAGGATCAAATCTAAATGATACCTTATTGCCTATTAAACACTACAGCTGCTTCTTCCCCATTCCCACTTCCCAATCCCCTCGTAGCATATTTAAAGGGAAGGTGTCACAGACCCAGCAGAGTAACACAGAGGATTCTACAAGGCACGTGCCACAGGAGCTGTAACTTTAGGACTCCATCATACTGCCCCCACCTCAGCTGCAACTGCAGCTGAAGAAGTTTCTCAGGTTTGGGGGAATGGGAAAAATCTCCATTAAAGTGCAGGGCAAAGAGCGCTAGCACAAGACCACAGCCAAAATAATTTTGGGGCACAGTAAGAAGCACATGCAATACC